AATCTATCTGATAATATCTAAGAAAAAGTAATGTATAGAATCTATATAATGAATTTAATTAGGTTAAAATACATTAGTTGTAGTAGTTCTGACTATTTAATCTATTTTTTGACAAATCTAAATTATTTAGTATTAGTTTTATATCATTTTTAGTCTAAAGTATTTTATCGATATCTTATTGAATCTTTTATAATGAACTATTTATTAATATTTACATTTTGTATACAATTATAATGTAAAATATAAGCATAATATTATTATTTAAAAAATTTATTACTTAAAAAATGATTTCTTTTTTAAAGCTTTTTAATATACAATATATAATAATAATAAGATTTATTTTCTGTTTTATTTTATTTCTATAATTTTTATTTTTATATTTTTAATATGTCAGATGACATCCTTTCAAAAAGTAGAAAGAATAAATCTTTCTTTTTTTACTTATTTTATTTTATGAACAAATTTTTTAGCTTTAAAGCTATTAATTAACATTAGTAAAAATTTTATCTAATTTTATGAATATATACTTATACATATTTATTATAATTTTATTATATATTTATATTATAAATTTATTATATTTTAATGTAAAGAACTACTTTAGATTTATTATATAATCAGTATATAAATTAGACTTTAACATATATCAGTTAATTATTTTTTATAAAAAAAATTCAGACTTTTTAAAAAAAACCTTAAATTTATCCTATATATATTTAAATTTTTTAGATTTATTATATTTATTAAAATATATATTAATAAAATTATAAATTTTTTTGAATTTTTAAAAATATGAATTAGTTTTTAATTATATTAATTAATGTATAAATAAATAAAGAATTTTTATAATAAAATGTAAATTAAAAAACTTTTTATGATAATCGAAAAAAAAGTTATATTTTTATTATACAAAATTAATATTTTTCAGTCTAAAATTACAGCCAATAAAATCTGGATAAATTTAAATTTTCTAATTCTAAATAAATATCTAATTCTATAACAAAATTTTGGATTTTGAAATAAAAATCTGATAAATCCAAAATTTTTATATTCTAGTTTGAATTCTATATATGATTACTTTAAATTCATTATATAAATATTTTAAATTTATCATATGAATACTTTAAATTTATTATGTAGTTGCATTAAATTATCTGTATATTTATTATATTAATTTAATATAAAATATCTATATACTTATTATGATAATAATAATTATATATCTATTACAAAGCTATTATTTCACAGATTTTTATAATGTAGAATTATAAATTCATTCAATTATGAAAATTAATTTTTAACAAGTTCAAATTGAATATTTTAAACTAATAGATTTAAATTATTTATTTAAAAGTAGTTTTAAAAAATTTAATATTTTATAAGAATTTGTTTATAAAACTCAACCATTTCATTTTAACTTAAATAGTTAAAATTTAAAAAAAAAATATAAATTACAATATAAAATTTATTGATTTTAATAATATTATAATATTTTATTTAACAATTACAAATAAAATTCTATTTAAATATTTTATAATAATGATTAATTTATATATAATAATATTAAAATAAAAGCATTTTTTATTTATATACAGGTATATTATATATAATTTACATAATATTATCAGTATTAATATTATTTTACTAGCATGAAAAAATTAAAAATTACCCATATGATAGTAATGTGATAAATAATAAGTAACAAATAAGAAATTTTTACTGAAAAAACTTTAAGTTCTTAAAATAAATAATTAAAATTAAAAACAAAAAAAAGTAATATCAATGATAGATATATTTATTATGTAATCTGAATATATATATCCTATATAAACTTAGAAATTTCCTATACTAAAAATATATAAATTTTAAATTCTTTTAAAAATTAACTAAAAATAATTAAAAAATAATTAATATTATTAATATTAAATAAAAGTAATTAAAGCAAACTTTTTAAAAAAAATTAAATAAATTATGAAAAATATTTGAAAAATTCTTTACAAATAAATTTTTCTAAATTCTTATTTTAACAAATTAATATAATTAGATTAAATTAATAAATTTAAAAAGAATTCAAATAAAATTAAAATTTAAAACTTAAAAAATTATTTGCAATCTCAAAAAAAAGTAAATGAAAAACTGAAATATTCAAATTAATATTATTAAATAATATTTATTATTTATGTTAAAATTATATTAAAAAATTATCTTTTACTTATATTTGTATAAAATATTTTATGTAATTTCAGTTTAAAAATTCATCTTTGATAGTTTAAGTAATTATCTTTTTTTTTTATTTTAAATATTTTATTCAGCAAATTTGAAGTTATAAAATTCTTAATTTTATTAAAATTAGTTTAGTATTTATAAAGTTCATAATGATAATGACTTATAAATTTACTTTTTTATATTTTGACTATTTTAGTACTTCAGCTTAAAATAATAATCTTTAGTAATTTAAGTAAAGTTGTTTTACAGGTTTAAAATTTTTTTATTAATTTTATTAAGGTTGAATTAGTATTTTAAAGTAAATAATATTTTATATAATACTAATCATAATATTAATATTTCTATAAAAATAAATTTTTAATATAAGTATTCACCATTTATTTATATTTTTTAAATTATTATTAATAATATTTATCTAAAATTTCATCTAAAATAACAATTATACTTCTAAATAATTTATTAATTTTGATTAAATTTCTAAAGATTTTTCTACTTCTTCAAAATAAATCTATAAGTTATTGGTATTTTATTTTAGATAATAAGTTTGATTAATTAAATCAAATTGGTTAATTCAGATGTAACTTATTTCTAAAATTAATGTTTTTATTAAATTAATAGAAATCTTAAATCCTAAATATATTATTCTTTTACTATCTAATAATAATTTAATAAAATAATAATATCTACTTCAAAATATAATTTTATGTTTACTAAAATTATGTTAGATAAAATGTATTTTATAATTTTTAAGGTTATCAATACAAAATCTATTATATTATAAAAGCTTGAATAATAGTATTATTATCATATATTTTTTAATTAATATTTAAAGATTATTTTTAATTAAAAAAGCTTTTAATTTAATAAAATTATAATTTAATTCTTTTATTATTAAGTCTCACATGTCTTAAATCTATATCTAAAGAAAAAGGATCCAGAAGTGAGAAAACACAAGATTTGCTTGCTAATTTTATAAAATTTTTTATTTCAAGTAAAGAATAATTAGAAAAGTAATAAAATAATTATTCAAATATCTTTCATTTGTTAAAAAATATTTTTCAATATCTATTTAATATTTTATAATTATAATACTAATATATTTTAATCAATATTGATCACTAAATGATTGATTAAAGTTGATACAATAGGTAAAATTATAATGATTGAAAATAATACTTATCAACTACTATATTAATAATAAGTATTACAAGTTTTATAATTTTTAAAGTATTAATTTGTTTTAATTTGATGATTTTATTAATAAATATTAAAAATTAATATGATAAAGTATAAAAATGTTATAATTAAAATTGATTTTCATCTAAAGTTAAAATTTAAATGATCTTTAATTATCTGAAATTAAAATTCTAATTTCAGGTATCTTTTTAAACTGAATTTAGCTTTAAATAACCTATAAAAAACTATTTTAACTTATCACAATATGTCTATTTTTTTACAATTTTGTAATACAGTTTACTGACTAGTTATTTAAATTTATATTTTAAACTTATTATACTAATAAATTTCATCTTTTAGCTAAATTATAATTTAATTTTGCAGAATTTATTAATTAAATTATATAGTATTTAAATTTTTCAATATTTATTTTTTTTATTTTTTTAGGATTTTTAATTATTTTCAAATTACTATTTAAAGTAGATATTTTTTTCTTATTTTTTTTATTTCTATTTTTAAAATTATAATATAAGTAAAATTTTTTATAATTTTTATTGTCAAGTTAATTAAATATAAGTTTTATTTTATTTTATTTTAATTTTTTATTATATTTTTAAGATTATTTATTTTTTTAGTCTTATTTATTTATATTTTATTTTATGCAAATTTTTCAATCATATAAGATACTTCATCAGTTAAATAAGTGATTATATTTATTTTATTTTTATGTCTTTTTTTAATTTTCAGACTGAAGTAAATTAACCTGAAAAATTCAAATTAATAATTTAATTAGAAGACTAAATTAAATACATTCAATTTTTTTCTTTAATTTTCTATAATAACAGAAAGCAAATAAAAAGAGAATTTTTACCTTTACAAGTTACTTGTATAATTATTCTATTTTGAAACTAAAAGACAAATTTTAAAATAAATTACTTAACTTTTATAAATATTTTCAAATTTTAATTATAAAGAAATGAATTATTAATTTTTTTTATTATAATAAAGTAAGTCAAGAAAAATAATAAAAGAAACAGTTAAAAAATCATAAAATTTTATTAATTAAATATATTGCTTATGTAAAATACTATAAATAATAGATTCTTCATATTACTTATAAATACATAATTTGTATAAAATCCAGATTCAATCTAAAGTTTAATTTCAGATATCCAATTTTAGATAGCTATCTAAAGTTCAATTTCAATTCAGATGGCCTCATATTTGAAATTAGAATTTAAATTAAAATTAAAATAGTTATACAGAAATTGACCAATAAGAACATGACTTAAATTGGAATTCAGATAACAAAAAGGGTATCTGAAATTGGAATTTGTATTTGTCAATTTACTATCAGCATTACAAGGCGCTGGGTAATAAAATTCTGTTATTGATACAGTTCATTCTAACGGATCCATTGTAATCAATAAAAACCAGTTATCTATTTAAAAATTTTAACAACTACTTGATAACTATTTAATACCTACCAGAAACTGAGTCAACGAATATTGATCATAATTTGAGTAAACCCCTTACAAAGGTCAGTGAATATCGCATCTGGAGCATGATTATAGTAAAGAGCAAAATCACTTAGGTGATTAACAAGACAAAATGTTATTAAGAACATATTTTCCTAAGTAGTGGTTCTGATAAAAAGTAGCAATGTCTACAGTTTCAATTAAAGATAATGCAGAAGGATTCTGTCCAGAATATGGCCATCGAGCTCCTTCGTTTTCAGAATCAAAATAAATTCCAACAACATAAATAATATTGGAATAAATGAATCCCTTTACTAGCAGCTGACTTAGCTGTCCTTTTAGTTTAAGGTCAAATTTCCAACCACAATTTAGTACATAATGACATTGAGTACGAGGTTCAATCTATTTATTTAGCCTTTGTAGAATTGGTATAAAAATGTCCGTCATTCTCGTTGATGTGAATTGCGTCATTAGTAAAGGTGATATCACATATTTATAGGATAAACCTATGCTACTCCAAGCATGAACCGATGAAATTAAGATTAAAATCGAGTCGTCAATGTTCGAAATGTAATGAAAGTATTCCTCTGCATCATTTTTTTTTTAAAAAAACAAATGGATATGAATATATTGAACAAGATAAAAAAGAGAAAATTTTTGTTGCAAAAATGCATTGTATTTATATACAGTATAAGGTTGCGGGGGGCAAAACCCTAAATCAATTTTGGCAAAAGTCGAAACTTTTTGAAGATAATTTTGACAGTTTCGACGGATTATGACGGATTTTGACAATTTCGATGGGATTCGACGGGTTTCGACAAACAATTTTGATAATTACTGATGATTTGCAACAAACTTTGCAAGTTTTGTTTGACTGGTTTCTAACAGGTTGGATTGTAATACAATTCGTAGATTGTAAAAGAACTTAAATAATTTTTTTCTTGTTTTTTATTCATTATGAAGATTCAAATTGAAAAAGCATTAGTGAATTATTAGAGTGGCATGTGCTGCACGATTAGCTGTATTGGATGTTAGCAAAAAGGATTACAATTTCAAGGTAATGAAAATTTGGATTAATATACTTCTAAATTAGAAACAAGTTTTTAGAATAATACATTATTTATGGAACAAGAAAATAATAATTGGGAAATTAAGAACTTTAATTTAGATTACAATTTTTATAAATATAACGATATATTTCTAATATTAATAAAGTGTTATTTTTTTCGAACATTAAGCACGGTTATTAGTATTTATAAATTTAGCTTTATATAATTAAAGATTAATATCAATTGTTTTAATTAGGTTTTCATCAATCAAAAATTTTGCCCCTATCATAATATTTACCAGTCGAAACTTTTACAGCCTGTCAAATTTTTTGCACCCATCGAAACTTTCGCGGTTTTGCCTTTAAAAAAAATTTGGCAAAAGTGTTAAAACTAGTTTCGATTTTGCCACCTGTATAAACCTCAGGGATTTGCCAGGCAACCTTATTTATATATATAAAATTATATGGAATAATATTCCAAGATCGAAAGAATAGAATATCCGAAACAGTTCATTTAAATAATTAAACCTTATAAAGTTCAAAAAAAAAAAAAAAAACCGCAATTTGATATGTGCGACCCAGGTCGTACCTTTTAACCTTGCGGCGTTACTTATTCGATATCCCTTTTGGTCAAGGATGTTCAAACTTAAAGCTGTTAACATCATTATATGGGGATGAACAAAAATTGTTGTTTTATACATTGTCATACATACCAGCAGTCATTCCATTTGAAACTAAATTATATTCCTTTATTTTAGAATAATATAACATTAAATTTATACAGTATTGCTGCAAGATTTAATTTTTATTTATAAGATTATCTTTTATTTGAATTTGCTGCGTAGTATTCCTGATACCGGAATGATGCAATATGATATCTTCATTTCCAGATCCTAAAAATGTTTCGGAATATAAAATATAATCTGAAATTACAATTCTAAATTCCGTAAATATATATATAGATATTAATAGCTAATTAAAATTTAAATACGCTACCATTAGCATATGATTTATTTTTTTCATTCGATACATCTAAAAAAAAAAAAATTTCGTGTTCAATAAAGCGAGTTATTGATTTAGCGCTCAAGATGAAAAATAATATTTTTTTAAAAAAGAGAATTACATATTTTTGTATTTTTTGGGAAAATCAAAAAACAACGACTTTAATCATTCCAAGGTTAGAAATCGAGATTCGCTACTATATCAATTTCATATAATTATATATAAAATAAATAAAAATTACGACTCGATAGATTTTTTTATTTACTATAAATTTATGGGATTGCGGTATCAAAGCAATTAAAAGAAGTTCATGATAATAAAAACAAAAATTCAAGAAAAGGTAATATAACTGCTATAAAGATTGTTATTATGCTATGATTAAATCTTCCATCAATTTTAACGGCTGTTGTTAGTTTCTTTTAAAGAATATTATTTATCACATTTATATATCGTGGGCTCTGGAAGTATCTATCTAACAAATTCCGGTTTATGTACATGATAATATCGTTCCCTTCTACCCGGCAACCACCTCGATCTGACTTATATGTATTTTCTGCTAAATCAGGCAGAATGAAATGTATACGAAGGGAACCTTGATGTTTGTATTTATCACATATAGTGTCAAGTCTTCCTCGAATAATATGCTTTTTTATTTGATGAGTATTTCCATCTTCACTATTGTCATAGTAAACATATCTCCAATCTGTTGTCCGTTTATCTATATCAACACCTTTTCCTGAAAGTGGAATCCCATATATTTTAGCACTGATAAGTAGGGTCCAGTAATCATCACCGCTATCTGAAATGTTATTGCCAATATAGACTCCATCTGGACGCATTACAGCAGAAGGTTCAAGCATATACTTTCGATCCTTTGGACTTTCTAAAAGCAATGAAATGAAATCCACATCGTCATTAATCTTATCTTGAAATTGCCAAGAGAGTTTATCTAAATCCCCATAGGATTTAATATTGATAATTGCTTTATTCGCCCATTCAGGTAAATTTGTTTTCTTAATTCCTCCAATCTCAAATATCTCATAGTCGTAAATAGTATGAACAAAATCGGCAACCGACTTTTCATTGAATCTCATTAATCCTGCTTGGGCAAGATATTGCCACGTAGCACCTTTTGAAGTATCTGATATTTTAGTTGCATTTCGTTTTAATTCTGCAGTTAGCTTTTGAAGTAGTGATTCATCTGGTCGGATAAATTTAGGTAAAAGCACAGTTTTGACAACATCAACCGTTATGAGTTCATCAATCACCATGGACTTCTTATCATTTTCCACCAAACGTGCAATACCAGAGTCAATTAACCTCCTTGAACGATCAACAACCTCATGTCTAGATACATAGCCACCAAAGAACCAGCAATTAACAAAAAGCACTTCCATGATATTTTTCCAGCCATTTTTATCAGAACCATCATATGCATCCTTTATAATATTTTCAAGAGTTGATTTAAGGCGATCACTAATTGCTTCTATTGTTTGTTTAATAGCTTGTTTAAGCACATCTTGTTTGCTTATAGTCCTGTTATAATTTTTTTCCAAACGTATAATTTCCAATACAAACCGAGCAGCAAAACGAGGACGACCAGCAAGATATTTAATCTCTTCAATATTTTTAAGATTACATTCAGACAAGTCCAAATAACGTTCTAGATAAGATTCTACCTCTTCAAGCTTTAACATTTTAAAATCAACAAGATAATCGGCAGTTACCCCCTTGCCAATGTCACCATAAATACTTTTCCCATGTCCAAGTGTAAATGATGTACCAGCAATTACGATTGGAACTCGTAGTTGCCCTAGGAACGTTATCAATGGCGTTAATAGACCTCGTGGATGATTATTATGGTTTAGAAAATTACCAAAGAAAATGGTGGTAGCTGCATTTGCCTCATCGATGGCGAACAAATGTGTTTCTCTGTTAAGTGTCTGAAATAAATTAAAATTCAATGATAATTGGAATATCTAACAATGCAAGAGCAAAGGTATTCAGCCGATTTAATAAATTATTTACCAAGTGATCTTGTGTAGCAATTATAAAAATTGCTTCCATTTCAGCAGTTGTAAATTCGAAGGAGATTAAATATAATTTTATATTAGCAATGCAATTTTGTCCACCGTTAATTTGTGCAAGAAGATAGTCGCGTGGTGTAAGATTCTCAATGTTCTCTTTAAGGAGAATGAAGTGTAAAACTCGCGCAGTAAACTCTAAAGCAATAAGTCGATTTGCTTCCAATACAGCAAGATTAATCGGTTTTTTTTCAAAAATTTCAGTTATCCTTACAACAAGTTCTCCAAAGTTTGCATCAGCTGCTGGCTCTAAACCAGCTATTTCATCCTTCCGTTTCAGACATTCAATATATGTTATGAAGATCTCATTGTGCATGGCCATATCGAAAATGGCTCTCGTCTTGCCGGAAACTGCATAAAGCAAATGGAACATGTTTTCATCTTTACATAATTTGATAAGTCTATCACCCATTGGACTAATAAACTTGTCATCCAGTCGCATGTCCGGAAACTTTTTACCAGTTATTGGTATGCGGGATCCTTCTTTGGAGAAACGGCCAGCAATATCTTTTGCAGATTTGGGATAAAGTTCTGGGGGAGGAACAATAGCGACATTTTCTTTAATCTCGGCAATCAACTCTTTAAGATCTCTAAGATTGATCACAGATCGTAGTCGCTTTTTTGGTTTTGTATCAATGGATTCTATAGTTTGAAAAGGTGAATGTCATTAAGGAAAGTGGTTTTGAGCTAAAGCTTTCTTAATGGCAATATATACCTGGATATTCACATCGTTTTTGACCAGCTAAAAAAATTAAAAAAGAATAAGATTAGACCAAAATTTATTTTGTCACTTCGACAGATAAAAAATTGGGACACATTTACCAGAAGAGGTGGGAACTATGAAGATATGAAGGCGTCTTGACTTAGGTTTTTTGTCATTATTATTAAAATATTCTTTAAATTCAAATTCAGGTTCCATCATCGTGCCAAGATTTTTAATCTCATCTTCGGTAAAAATTTTATCTTTCAAGCTCTTAAGGTCGAGTTCAACTTTGTAAAGTTCCATACTGTCAGAATCTTGAACTACATGTTTTACTTTTTTCCTACGAAAGAGAAGCTCTTTGAAGTTTGAAACGGTAAATTCACTAAAGTTAACATTAATTTTATCATCATTGGTGTATACTTCGCCAACGACAGCATTGAAATTATTTTTAGAAGCTTCTTGTAGAAGTAAACAATTTACTGACAATACCATTATGTTTCTGTAAACGATAAAATGTTTTTTAGAGAAAGAAAACTAGAAAGTTTTTAAAGATATAGAGATATATATATACTTTTCTGAATATATAGACTATTGATAGACTCTTGATAAACTCTTGGTGGCTTGTTATGACTAAATACAGAGATACTTTGAAAAAATTAATAAGCATAATTAAAATAAAAAATTTATCAGTACGCGAAAGAAATTGATTAATACATACCCTTTAGATTGCGATCCGGGGTATTTATGGTTGATTAACGTAGATATTTAAATACTGAAAAATCTCTGTCCTCATAATACTGAAACGCGGAGGGATGTGACATCCATCGATGACAAATATATCACGTGAATTTTCGCAATTACTTTTATTTAATATTTAAATAAAATTAGTTAAATGTATATATCGGGTGAAATGTGGTGAAAATTGTTTTCAAAAATGTTCTAACCGCTCCTTGGACCAGTCTTATAAATAAGTCTGGACCGAGAAGAAACAAATTTTGAACCGGCTCCGGTATGTATGATAAAATCGCTTAACCAGTCAGACTTTTCAAAAGAATATCATCTAAAAATGGATCTATTATTATTATTTAAAAATAATTCGTAATAGTTTTATTAAAGCCTTTTAGTAAACATAATTAAATATAATTAATAAATTATAATAATTTAAATTATTATTATATTTACCTTTATTACTTGAAGTGGATTCTATGTTTCAAATTTGATAAAATTTAATATTTCAAATTTTTAGTAAGCAGAAATGAGTATAATTAACGAATTATAGTATTGAATGTGATCCTTCTAATGGAGGAGCTTTTTCAACATCCGAAATTGTCTCTAATGCGAATCATGACAAAAAAAATTTAGAATATCATCCAACCGTTGGTAGGTGAAGTTTCATGATATTTATTCCTTTTTATTGTTTGGTGAAAATATTTTTTAGTTTCTTTATTACACTCTTACCTTATAATTTATAATAAAAAAAACACTTTTTAAAAAAATTTTTTATTTTCAACCAGAATTTTCTTGCATAACGATGACAATGTATTTTTTTTTTTTTTTTTTTTAACGATGGGGTACAAGTTTAAAGTAAAAACAATAAACTAAACTATGATACATTGTCAGTTTGAAGATCTTACCGCAGTATGTGAAGTCTGCGTACCCTTCACGAAATTTCACGTGATATATTTTGTCACTTTCCCTCGCGTTTCATTTTTACTAAGTATTATGAGGACTTAGAATTTTTCAGTAATTAAAATCTATTTATCATTACTATACTTCACATGTGCGCCACAATTAATTCCAGCCAAATACCGTGATGCCGGCCATTTCGTGACATTTTTGAAGGGTACGCAGGGGAAAAAAAAATTCTGTCCCTGAAATACTTAGTAAAAATGTTAAGTGGAACTCAGTGTGATAAAATCCACGTGATTTCGTGACAATTCCGTATCTTCCCCAGTATCGCCCCCAGATAATAATAAAATATTTGTTCACCCTGCGTCACGCCCCTCGACAGAATTTTTTCGGTAAGTTAAATATTATTTGTCACGCCCTTATTTGTCACATATTTAATTTATTAATGCCGTAATGCCGGAATTTTTGTGGCGATACTGGGGTAAATACATTCCGTGAAGTTTACTCAGGAGTTGTAGATACTGCGGAAACAATTAATTTTTTTGGAATTCGCAAGTCTTTATGTAAGAACTTTATTGGATTTATAATAAGAAATTTTTTTTTAATTGTATTCATATCAGTTTTACACGCTTTATGTATTCTATAGCAGTAGAATATTTATGATATTTGATAAGTTCGTAGCTATACGATGCGACGATGGCTTAATCTTGTTGTATGAGGGAAAAGCCTAATAGTGCATGAAATATATATATATGCTTGTTTTATCCTTTCTTTTCGTTTATGTAAGAATGCTTATCTTGACGAGAGAATTTTATTTATTATTATTATAAAGCCTTACATATATTTTTATATAGCTCTTATTAAAACAATTTGGTTTGTAAAACATATATGGGAACTCGGTATACAGTATAGATCTCAATACATGCGAAATATTAATATTTTCATATTATTGGAAAATTCAGTGTAAAATAAACCTTTAAAATTAATTCTTCCACTGTGCAGTTAAGTACGACTTAATTATGTAATGTCCGGATTTAAAATTAACTTTATAACAAATAATTTTCTCAACATTGCTGCATTTATGAGGAAATTTGACAATATTTGTTATCGATCATTCAAATAATGATTTCTTGGATATTTGATATAACCATAACATAAATTAATATACCCAAAATATATACTAATAATATTCATTTTACAAGTTACGCGAAAATCATTAATAACTTAAGTTTTGGAACACTAAGATTGTTATTAAAATCTTGTGTAATCTTATCATCGTCATTAACTTCGAGTATTTAAACATTTTAGTTATCTTCAATATATTAGGGTTTTTTGCCTCGGGTTCTTTTATGGTTCATGCTCTTTGAAGATTTAAGATCTTGTCGTTTTCGAAAAGTGCTGATTGAATTCTTCGGTTCATGAGTTGTATAGGAGTATATGGAAAATCGGTACGGTACGATTCGCTTGAACGGTGAGTATATATTATTTAATTACGGTGCAATATTATATATAAGGTAAGGTACGATAAATTATTTTTAGGTACGATCAATTATATATAGATACATACCAATATAGCGAATAATTAACAGCAATCATTAACTCTATATTTTTGGGTACGTTTAAACAAGTTAGTTAAATATATTTGCTTAAATTAACATTAATTTGCTTAGATTTTTTATTTTTTTTTTAGCGCCTAATTCATTTTCTAGATAACAATATTAGTTGTTTTAATCAAATATTTCTAATAAAAATAATTTGCATATCGATATGTATTAATTAGATAATTATAATTCAAGCATTATTGAATAATAGATTAAGATATTTACAAATTAAAAAAAGATAAAAAAAAATTTAAGTATAGTATATGATCGCAAAAAATTAAGTCTAGTAAATATTTAAGTTATGTTTGTACTGCAACTTTGAAAAATCTGGGACATGGCGAAATTTATTGAACATAACCTTTCTTTATTTGTTAACGAGAAAAAAACTTGTGAGGTAATATAAATTTAGATTATACATACGGCATAACATCATAACAATCTACAAAAATTAAGAATTAATGAAAAACAATTTTGTATAAATAAAGTTGCAGGTACGTAAGTTGCAGGTACGTACTAAAGTTGTAGGAACATTTTTTAAATAATTAGGATCGTACCATGCGCGCAATATTGATAGTATTCATATATACATACGGTACGATTAGTAAAAAATATTCGTACCTGCAAAAATTTTATATTACTGTATCCAAATGACAAAATTGTAACGTAACTATTTAAGGGGGATACCCGAGAAATCGTACCGTATCGGTTTTCTATCTATCCGTTCCCTTTTTAAGCAATAATGAATTAAATTAAGTCGATTTCATAGTCGCCATTTTATTTTTAATTTTGTTAGATACTAAAAAAAAGAAATTAGAATTCGATGACGTTAATAATTAATTAATTAAGTATTATTTATTATCGATGATTCTTATAGTATTCTTATAATCAATCTTAATGATGATATGATAACCTTAAATTTAAAGTTTAAAGCAATGCTAATGAAATAACATATTAAATTTTATCGAAATATAATTATTATTGGGTAAGTTTACTAGAAGCAACTTTTTGCCATATGATTTATATTTGAAATATTCAAAAATTTGGCTCAAAGCTAACTTTTGTGTTATTTAAAATTTTATTGTAATACTTTTATCTTATATTCTATATATCCTAAACTAGGAAATATAATGATTAGTATAGTTTGGCCACGCATATATGGCTTTGCCCAAATCTTAGAAATCTAAATTATTAATATAACATATGATTTATATATGAAATGTACAAAATGTTGACTCAAAGCTAACTTTTATGTTATTTAAAATTTTATTGTAATACATTTATATTATATTCTACATAACCTAAAATATCAAATGTTATGGTCAGTATAGTTTAACCATGCATTTATAGCTTTGTTCAAATCTTAAATATCTAAAAAAAATTAATTTATTATGTAATTTACTTAATTATTTATTTCAACCTTAAGCTAACTTATTTATAATGTCTAATCTTTGATTTACTATTTGAGAATCACATTTAACATAATTTAAAATATTGAATTTATTTATTTTTCGTCTGATCATATGCTGTATTATCCAAAGCTTTTAATTTAGGATCAGCTGATTTTATATAATGTGATAATTCATTTATATGTGATTGATAATGATCGATAAGATAATATAAGCAAGTTTGCTATATTAGCATATATTACAAAGTAATAATGCATGTAATATTTATAATGTTTGAATTTTTATTACCTATTTTATTTGGTTATTTTTCATTATTTGTTTAGTATAATTTATTTTTCATTACATTTATTATTTTAATATCAAAAGACATAGTATAGTAAACCATTTTGTATAAAAGACCTATAAGTTATCTTGAGTCAACAAAGTTTTCTTAAATAATATTCTGAATAAATCTTAAGATTAGATTTATAACTTTATAGCTTTAATAAATACTATTTTATACTTTCAACCTTCTTCTTATCTTTATATAAGGATTTGATTATGATAATTAGCTACATAGTGAATTTTATTATATATCATTTTATTTGTTAATCATTTATTTCTCTTAGGAAAGACCTTCAAGATAATTGAGTTATTAAGGTATTTAGTTTGTTAGTTTGATTTCAGTATAATTCAGGTTTAACAATGTCTATAGATTTTATTGAAACTTTTTTAGGGTTCAAACGAATTTTTCTACTTTTTTATATCTTATTTTAATCTTATTATATTTCTAATATTTTAATTATTTTTTATTTATATTATATTATTCCAAAAACATAAATTAATTTTAGCATAAATAACCAACAATTAAATATTA